AGAGTAGAGTAGTGTAAAGTAGAATAGAATAGAATAGGAGTAGAATAGGAGTAGAGTGTAGAGTAGAGTAAAATAGGAGTAGAGTGTAGAGTAGTGTAAAGTAGAATAGAATAGGAGTAGAGTATAGAGTAGAATAGAACAGAGGAGGAAGGAGAATGGAATGGAATAGAATAGAACAGAACAAGGAATAGAATAGAGTACAAAATGTAGAATAGAACAGAATATGGAATGTAGAATGTAGAATAAAATGTAGACTAGAATATAGAATGTAGAATAATAGAATAGAGTATAGAATGTAGAGTGGAATAGATTCCTTTAACTTGAACTTGATTCCTCTAAGCCAGCATTGATAGGGAATGTTGGCTTGGATAAGTTTCACATGCCAAAGTTCCTGCTGCAAGATGCAGCCATTAAAATTTTATGGCAAGTAGTCCTTGAGTTACGACCGTTCGTTTCTTGGCTGTTTGAAGTGATGACAGCACTGGGAGGTGGGGGGGTAAAAGAGGCTTATGGCCGGTCCTCAAATTGATGACCCTCCAATTTATGACACCTCCCCGCACGGCGCTGTGATTTGAGTGCTTGGCAAAAGCCGTACAATTATAACAGCGGCCTTGGATCACGTCGATCACCATTTCTGACCTTTGAAGCCAGCTTCCGAGAACCGAACGGGGGAAGCCGGCAGGGAATGTTGCAGAGTCGGGGTCATATGATGTCTCACTTAAGGACCGTGGGTGATTCATCTAACAACCCCATTATAAACCCCGCGTTGCTTCATGAATTCCACCGTCAGACGATTGTGGTTTTTGTTGGCACCAGGGGCCAAGGGGGTTGCCTTTCTCGTTCCTCAGCTTGGCATCATTTATCGGGACGTGAAGCTGGAGAACATCCTGCTCGACAACGAGGGGCACGTGGTGCTGACCGACTTCGGCCTGAGCAAGGAATTTGTGACGGAGGATGTGAGTTTGGAAAGCTCCCATCTTCCCCTAACGGCATCGGTTGGTTGTTCTGGTTCCAGGGATCGGAGTTTAGGCCGGGAGGGGTGTGTGTGTGTCTCCAAACTTGTCCAACTTTAAGATGGGTGGACTTCAACTTCTGGGAGTTGAACTCCACTTGTCTTAAAGTTGGCCAAGTTTGGGGACCCCCCCGGCTTAGACGGAAGGGAGTAGTAATGGGCGGGGGTTTGGGAATTGAGTCTTCGGAGGGGAGACCAGCATTGCTCGGAGAATCAGCTCCAGAGAGTAGCGGCTAGTTTTTGCCAGAAATTTAGAGGAGGCTGTGGACTTCAATTCCCAGGATCCCCCAGGGCTGGCTAAGGAATTCTGGGAGCTGAAATCTCCAAGTTGCCAAATTTAGAGAGCCCTTGACTAGATAATCCTCTCAGTTCTGATCTGGTTGCTGGTTTCTTCTCTTCTTCAGTCTTCCAGAAAATGTGACTCTTTACTGATTGTCATCGAAACTCATTTTTCCTTCCTTCCTCCCTTTCTTCTCTTTCTCTCCCCTTCCTTTTTTTCTTTTTGTTTCTATTCCTTCCTTCCTTTTTCTCCTCTTCCTTCTTCTTTTTCTGTTTCTTTTCCTTCCTTCCTCTTTCTTTCTTTCTTTCTTTCTTTCTTTCTTTCTTTCTTTCTTTCTTTCTTTCTTCCTTCCTTTTTTAATTTTTTCCCTTCCTCTTTTTTCTTTGTCTCTCTCCTTCCTTCCTCTTCTTTCTTTCTTTCTCCTTTCTTTTCCCCCTTCATTCCTTTCTTTTCCTTTCTTTTTTTCCCTTCATTCCTTTCTTTACCTTTTTTTCTTTCTTCATCTTCTTTTTTTCTTTCTTTCTTTCTTTCTTTCTTTCTTTCTTTCTTTCTCTTTCTTTACTTTCTTTCTCCTTTTTCTTTTTTCCCTTTCTTTTTCTTTCTTCTCCCTTCCTCTTTCTTTCTCTTTCTTTTTTCTCCCTCCCTCCCTCCCTCCCTCCCTCCCTCCCTCCCTCCCTCCCTC